TCTCTTGAAACATTACCGGATGATCTGCGTCTAGACCTGCTCCATACATGATAACTCTTTTGGCGCAGATGTCCAAATCGTAGATTGTCTTAGGAAACCACTGACATCCGGTTATTGCATCTGAAAAGGCATCATTTAGAAACTTCACATCTACATAAAATATACAAATGCCTTTTCCTGTCATGAACAACTCAAAGTTAGCGACTTAAGTGTGGTTGAAGGTGAGGAATACGATATTTACTCAACTCAATCTGATCAATCAAAGCTACAAACCCTACTTAAGAGTGGTATCAAAAAATGGAGCAGATCGGAGAGCACAGCGCATTTTAATTTCGTCCTTTTTTAGTTTTTTAGCCTTTCTAAGGTGCTAAAATATGTGAGCCTACTGGTTTGAATAAGTCCTAAGGTAATGCCACACAATGCTGAGTACCTGCTCATGAAGCTTTAAATGCTGTAAGCAACAAACTTTATTCATTAGGAAAGGAGATGTTGGTTATCCAAAGCTTTTAAGATCACTCTTGCCTAGGATAAATCAGCGATATCTTCCTGTCTGAGGAACCATAAGAAGTTAATATCTTGTGCATGTAATGAAACACAAAGTTCAGTTGTCACATGTGTGTAGGCTGTTGTGGTGGACTTATATCGGAATCCCTCTGACCCACACATTATTCCATCATCTATCCTTCCGTCGACACCGGTTAAGTATGGCTTGACTTAAGAATTTATAAAGTATACGTGAGCGAATGATCCACCATCTTAAAGGATAGTTCTTCTTGCACATCAATATGACACCTCCCGACGATTGGAGGTTGAAGCAAATGTCCTCTAGGAAATTGCTCCACGCGTGGTCATTCAAATAAAGTTATAAGATTTCAACTCTATGTTAGTTCAATCTTAATATATAAGGAGGCGGTATGATGTTTTCCTGAGCACTATGCGGGTGTAGAAGCTGCCGATGGGAGCTTTGTGAAAGGTGACTGCTTGTTACATTTTCCAAATTCCCATAGAATAACAACTGATCACATTCTCTCATTGAGATTTAGCTTCAGTAAACGAGAATCCTCGCAACTGATGAGCTTTACATCTTTCGACACATATTCCGAGGGACAATTTTTTGATGTAATGGTGGCTTTCAGTGTTCAGAGCTTTCTCGGCTTATTTAGTGATAATATTGTAATCTGTGCAGTGTCCGAGTTCTCATAATCACCATGTCCTGCAAGATAAACGGCACTACTAGGGATGATGCAAAGTCATTGCGTGTTCTTATTGAATTTTATTGAGGCTTAACCATTTCAGAATGACTACAGTGTTCTTGCACTTAATCTATTAGCCTTTTGTAATTGTACACTCCATACTACCACATCGCAAGCGTTCTCTAAATCAACGAAATAGGAGTGTTCAATTTTCATTCTCTCTCTTCAAAATATTATCCTTCCATCGACAACGGAAAGATGAACACAATGAGGACGTATGATTGTGGGAAGTACTCGATCCAACGGCTTTGAAAAAGATGAAATTAGAATGTTAGGCAATTGGCTTTGTTGTTAAGAACGCCGTGCTCAGTCTCACTGAACGTGGATATATAATATAATCAGTAATGCCGAAGTTGAAGGGAAGCCGATTTTATAATTATCATGAAGTTCTGTGCCGATTAGTAACCACACCGACTGCTGCAGAATAGAATGTGCCTTGAAAAACAGGTACCATCAGTGGGTATTCTCTATCACAACCAACCATCCGATGCATTAGGGTAACGGTGATAGATGTTTTTTTTGAGAGATGCCCACCGATAAAGGTTCGAATTGATCAACAACGAAAACGAAGACCACGAGGTCGAACGACTGTGGACATTTGACGCGAATCAATGACTCTAAAGAAAACGGGAGCCGACTAGATTTGTTTCTGATAAATTCATGTTCTAGGTTCAATCAACAAAGTCTGTATCATTGACTAATAACCGAACTTGGAGGAAAGTCGGTTTTGAAACTAACCTTGAGAACTTCTCAATCTTAGCGTAAAGGCTGTGCACGTTCACAGAAATATCGCTGTGCTCATGAATGTGAAATTGTTGGTCCCGAAAGTTTGTCATGCATTTCTTTGATCGATTTTTTGATGTACTTGATTAACAGTTCACATTACGTATTTCCAAGCGCACCCGATTAAGTAAGCACTAATATAATCATGAAAGGCCTAAGTAAACTTGACACAACTGAGCGACGAGTCCTCTCCGTGACTTATGCGAGCGAGCGTAATAGGGAGATTTGCGCACGGCTTAACCCATGCAGCTCAACGTGAGACCGAGCTAGTGGTTTATTGTTGAAATTTTGAGCTTATAAGATAATTCTGTACAATAAAATTCCACTGAAAAAGTCTACGGTATATAATCTATATAAACTCGTTATTTTGACAGTGGTAAGAAGATGTGAATGTGCATCTGAAAATGTTGAGTGATGCGCAAAACCTCTGCCCTGGCGGTAGTTGAATTCTCGCCTCGCCCATATCGGAAGTGTATGCATCCGATGTACCACCGAGGCCACAGCCCTGATACCTCTTGTTCTTCGATACAGACTATGGAAGCTGTCAACAACCAACCGTTAACGGAATCGGTCTGGTAAGCACAAATTGGCATTGGACCGATTGAGCTGTTAGCTTTCTCTATATCAATCAACTTTCTTAGATGCACAACTACAAAAACGTAAATGCCAAAATCCAATTAAATGAAGGATTTGTGGAGACCTTACACATAGAAGAAGCTTTTAGGTCAAGTGGGCTGAATGCTCATATGTGCCTACACCATGGCGAACCGGTGGAATTGGTTGCTAACAACTTCAATAGTGTGTATCGAAGAAGGAGAGGTGGCAACCCAGTGGCTTCCGTGGTGTTAGTGGTAGCACGCACCTCTGATGTGGGTGAAACGGGTTCCACTCCCGTCCGGGGTCAAATCTTTTGCGTATCACTCAAAATTCGTAATCCATGGTTGTTAGTGAGAATAAAAGTACCGTTAGATCCTGGCTCCATGAATTTCTCGATCACTGGTGGTTTCATGGTGAATGATACTTCATAAAACTGAAAGTACAATGTTTAAATATCCTCAGCGAATTTGCTAAGTAATAATTCTTACACGAAATTGGTCTCTCTTTCTTACACATGGTGTTTACTATTTGCAATGATATCTTTTTCACCAACTTATCCCTTCCAATCTAGCACGTCGTTTCTGACCGGTCGGATTAAAGGTGGGACTTTTTTTGTTGTCCTACAAAACAGCTGTCCCCATAGCAATAAATCACTCCTTGGTTCGCAATGACTATGGAGTGCTCGTTGTGACAAACTGGGCAGCTGTTAACTCGACTACAATGGAGGCATAAGGAAATACGATTCGAAGTCCAAGTAAATTTAGAATCTCCACTACACTATCGAGAACTACTTCCTCAACATAAAAGCACCTGTAGGTTCTTCTGTTTCATAGCTGCAATGGCATCCTCTGCTCTCGTGCCAAGTTCCAGTTCTAATTCGACCAGAATTTCCATGTAAGTTGCTGAATCGTCTTGAGAATCACGTGTTTCCATGTGTTTAATGCGTGTATTAGCCTGAAGAACAAATCGGCGCAATTTTCGTGATTTCTGATTTAAGACTTGAAAAACTGAGCCAATGCATCTATTCAAGTAAAAGTTGCAAAGTTCCATGAACTGGTAAGTCCGCCATCATCTTTGACACTCCGTCGACAGCTCGTTGACATTTCACAATCACCGTCAAGATCGGCAAACCTCCCTCGTCTTCTACGATCACCATGTCGCCCTTAAATCACCTAAGCCATAAAATCAGAACAGCTTGAGTGCAAAGGTAGTCAGAATTGAATGAATGGAATCGTAATTAATAAATTGCGCCAGTATCATGCAGGCCACTTCTATATGCAGTTTGATCTCAATCTGTCTTGACAAGAATAAGAAGCAGCTTATCAGAACATTACTTTCCTCTGTTTCCGAAATCGTCTAGCAAGATTTACTTACAGCTGTGAGACTGTATCTCTCTAAATTGAATATCTTCACTGATATATGTGGAACTGCCAATATCGGCACAAGCGAAGTTATTGAATTTTTCCGGAATTGATGCCCAACTTTAATTTGTACTTTTGAAGTGACACGTCTCAGCTTAAAATGCACATCTTCCAATCGAAATATGAAGTTGCTGAAGTATATCAGGACGCAATAATGTTGGGTTGTACCATAAGTTTTGGTACTAGGGCAAGAAACAGCAAATTTATTAATCAGAAGTAATTGAAATTGCATGATTTTGGTAACCTTTAATTGCCATTTTCTCGCGAACACATTGGTATACAAGTTGCCCACACTTGCTTCAAGATGTTGTAATGGGGACAAATTCACTTGCTACTCATACACGAATGGCGTGGTAGGAGAAAATGCTAGTGAAGCGGCGCGCACGATTAATGGAACTTGGAGCGATGATACCTACGAAAAGGGCGGCTAGGAAGTGGTTTGCGAGTTTCAAAGATGGAGAACAGTGTAGGGGATCAGTCGTGCTCAAGCCGTCCAGAGGAATTTTAATTAACTTTGCGCACCTCTTCACTAACACTTTCCCTACGCCGTTGATGTATGAGTAGGAATCGAATTTGATCCACAACAGCTCCATCTCACAGCAAATATAGACAGGTTGTAAGCAAAATGTTTGCAAGAAAATGAGTAATTCAACACATTAGAGCCAAAATTTTGATTATTTCTTATTGATAGTCTCTCATTCCGACCGCTCTCTTATAGACTTGCTTAAAATGATGTAATCTGAAAAGGATGCGTTAAATATTGATGTCGTAAATCAACACCTAGTCAGTTTTTGCTGAATGAAAAAGACCCGCTCTTTCTGAAATCAAGGTCCACTTGTAGCCTTATTTCTCGATAATCAATTAAAAATCGTTTTATTTGACCGTTCATAGAGGTGTTATGATGCTACAATAAACTCAGTCATGTAGAGTGGTGTGTAAAACTGTTTGCGCCAGCTGGGACTCGAACCCAGATCTCACTCTCTCCGGAAGCGCGTGCTGACCCATTGCACTAGCAACGCTCGTTTAGCACACCTCTATTTCTACGTTATAACGCGTAATCTGTCAACAGCCAACCGTCTACGGTCTGGCGTGGGCAGTCACTTATCGACTTTAAACCCACTAATGTTGAAAGATATTAGGTTTCTATAATCAATCAGAAATCATATTATTTGACCACTTATTGCGGTTATGTGATGTTACAATTTTTTTCTTTATTTTTCTTACACAAACTTTGATAATGGTTTTCTCTTCAAACAATGCACTACTATTATTTATCATTTCAATGCTTAATTTATACCCATTCGTAGCTATAGCTGAATTACAATATTAAGCTGTTTCAAAAGATTTGAGAACTAGAGCAATAAACACCAAATTTTTTAACAGATATATCTAATGAGGATATAACATGTTTTGAGCTGTTAGGTCTAGTGCTTTGAGCTGTTAGGTCTAATCTGTCAACAGCCAACCGTCTACGGCTAAATAATCCTTCACAAAGGAATCGACGCCGAGTAATAAAAATCACCGCAAGTCAGATGATGGAATTACCTGACGCAGTGGTACGCGGCAATCGAGTATGTAGCTTTTACAATTTTAGCCTCAGGGTATCGGCTGAATCGAGGGAGGGTGCTACTGATGGATGAGTCTCAATAGAACGAAACAGGCGTTTGTATAGCACTAGACCAAACAGCTCAAAACATGTTGAAAAAAATTGCAACATCATATCACCGCAATAGGTGGTCAAATAAAATGATTTCTGATTAATTATTGGAACCTAATATCTTTCAACATTAGTGGGTTCGAAGTCGATTAGTGACTGCCCGCGTCAGACCGTAGAAGGTTGGCTGTTGACAGATAACGCGTTGTAACGTAGAAATAGAAGTGTGCATAACGAGCGTCGGTAGTGCAACGGTTCAGCTCGCGCTCCCGGAAAGAGTGAGATATGAGTTTGAGTCCCAGCTGACGCAAACGCTTTTGCACACCACTCTACATCACTGGGTTTAATGTAGCATCATAACACCTCTATAAGCAGTCAAGTAAAACGATTTTTGATTGATTATCGAAAAATAAGGCTACAAGTGGACCTTGATTTCACAAAGAGCGGGTCTTTTTCATTCAGCAAAAACTGACTAGCTTTTAATTTACGATGTCAACATCTAACGCATCTAAAAACACTGAGTATTTGTACGGAAGTAATCATAGCCATTCAGAGCCGTTTTAGAAACCTTCAAGCTCTTTTCAAACTCCTTGTCCACCTTTAGAACAGAATAATTCATTTTTTACTGACTACATTGCTGAATAAATAGCGATCTTAATATCGACGCCGTGAATGATCGGTAAGTTAGTTATCGATCTCAAAACACTAGCATCTTTGTTGTCCTGAAACATGAATTACGATCTTATTCTGGCATCTAACTATTCATCATAATCTCTCTTGAACAATAAAGGTGTTTTGATGGAAATAAATATGTTGGAACGACAAACTCTATGCACAGTAAAGCAATCAAACCCTTACAAAATGATGTCTACTCAGTAGAGAGCTGTTCCACCAAAAAAACTGTTAAACATTTTTGAACTTACTTATTTTCCTTGAAAAATTTTCGGATACTATGGTGATATTTTTCTTTTAACTTTTTGTTTTGTTAAATGCACAATGTTTCATATCTGCTGAAAAATTAGAGAGCAGTTACTTTTTCTGTCAAATGTATACAGAACCGTCAAAAGTAATGTGACAGTTTGTTGTACTTGTGTTTCGATTCAAGGTTTTCTCAGTCTTACTTTGTGTGGGTTTATTCGGTCCATAAACTCTTATGGGCATTTTGAAATATGTAACAGATATCAGGAGCGAACGGTATTAAGACTCTACCAAATAATGTCCGACCTTTCCACCGAAGATCTGGCGAATATCTTCTTCAGGAACAAATGGAATGCCAAGTGATCCACTACGTCGAAATTTTCTCTTGAACTGTTCGAGACGAGTATCCGAAAACGGCCTTCAAATTATTCAAATTATAACTACTGTCTCATATTGTAGCAAGAAAACCCACATGTTTGTTGACAAAGTTTTTCGCAGCGGATTTTTTGAGTAGTAGAAGAATTTCATTGCAGATGCCATTTCTTAGAAGAGCTGCTACAAACGTTGCCGCTAGTAGTTCGGTTATAGATGACTCAAAACAAGATTAGGAGGTTTCAAATAAACGAACAACAAAGTAATGATATTGAAGAGACAGAAGCTGCATACCTTCCTACAAGCTAAACCTTGATTAGAAATAAATAAGGAAAAGAAAGGAGCTGAAAAGTTTGCAAACAAAATTCTAAAAAATAGCTGTCGATTATCACCGGCTTTGTTCATGGAACCGCTTCTGTGAAAGAGAACATGACGTGATTTGTTGGCGCATGTAGGGGAATAGAAAACAATCGTAATGAATTCCAAGCGCAAATATTCATATCCGGTTTCAGTGCTCATTAATCAGTAACCAAGCCAAAGAAAAAGGGAGAATGCAGAATTAGGGTCTTAGAAAGAAATGCTGCTGATGGGTGGAAGCACTCAGCCACCATCTACGCCTTGTCCTTAAAATGTCCTGGATCCCAGTGAAGTGTTTCCTTTTTAAGAAATTTTTTTCAAGCAGACAGGCTTAAAAGCAATTAGCACCTTAGGGTTTCTGAGCAGCTTGAAACTGCTTTTCTGTAGGGTACTTGTTAAAATTGCGTTAGAAAAATGTAGATAATCTGTGGCAGCATTTTAGCTACTACACCAGATAAGGTGCCATTCTATTATCTCAGCTTAGAAGAATTTAACAACTCACGCTATACAAACACCATGAATTATCAAAATTGCTCATTATGCGGCACAAAATAAAATATCTCCAGGTGATAGACATGAGAACCTGTGGTCTTACTCAACAGTTTCACCGTCAACAGCTAGCACCAGAGACGTTTGCAAATTAAAAGCTCACAATTTTCATTCCTTTAACTTACTGCTTCTCCGCAGTGTTATGATATTCAAAATTTGCACCTGAGAGAATTGGTGGTAAGCAGAGACTCGATCCCAGCCAGGTGTTGAACCTGAGTTGCACTTGTACCAGGAGCGCGCGAGACCACTACAACACAAAGGCTACCTCTTTTCTATCACTCTCGCTTCAGCATATCCTATCGTAGCTATTAGCATGTAGCCTTTAACAGGTTTGGTCGGGTATTCGCAAATCACTCAAAACTTGGTCAAGCTGAAGAATTCATACTCAAAAATTTTTTGTCTTAACCTCTATTTGTAGTGTTATGATGCTCAAAAGAAACGCCTATACGCTCAGCTCCTAGAGGTGCATGTTTGAGATTTGCGATTAAATATAACGTTATCAGAAATATTGTTGAATTTCGGTTAAAATATGGTAGTGAGTGCGACAGTATTTCATGCAAACTCTGTGATTTCATGGCATTCTAAAGTAGTGGAAAAAACAGTCTTTCGCTTCCAGTGTTTTCATGAAGTATCGAGCGTTTTGAAGAATTTGCGTCGCACTAACAGTGGCCAGTGGCTAAGTTCTGAGCAACTCGTTCTTGTCGTCTGAAAGCACTAAAACATTTCCCATGTTATGTAATCCTTCCATACTGATATGAGTGGAAAACTATATCCAAGAAGATCACTATTGAGAGGTTGCTAGAGTCATAACTCCTTTTCCTATAGTCTATCTGCTGGTGCAGTACTACACGTAAAAAACGTAGAAATTTTCGTTACAAGAACATTACTTCTATGCGAATTTTAGTACTCTAGCATCTCGATTCGCTTCCTTCATACATTGCCCTGAAAGTTCGAACATTTTTCAAGTGTGGTTCAGCTATTGCTTGAGTATTTCAGACTTCCTCGTGAATGTCCTAAAGTGTTGGTTGAAAAGAGTCTCCATGCAATCATGAAGACAGTCTAGCGAAGGATTCTTAACTGACATGGACACAGTTCTGGAGAAGAGATCGAACTAGTATCACGCCCTATTTCCAGTAGCTTGCATCACTATCGTTATGATCGTGAAGCACAGCATCTCTCACATACAGATTATTCTTGAGAAAACAGTTGTTATATCAGAGAGTTGATGTTCTTTACCTCAAGCATGGCTGATGCCAAATCTTTTTTTCTATTCAGAAAAGAAGTGGAGCTATCCCACATAAGAGCACTATAAGATTGAATAAAGAAAAACCACATAAAGTAGCATGAAAAGGACATTATAAATATTATATGAGAAACTATGAGACTGCTATGTGAGCTCAGATGCATCTAATCGGCAGTGGTCAACCAGGACGTAGACCTGTTTTCTTTTTTTCAACACCTTCAACAACCCTTCAACAAGACGTAAATGTGTTTTTTTTTTACAGAAATGCCCTAGAGTTTTAGCCCATAGTGTTGAGAGAAGCGCATAAATCACTTGAGAATAAGCCATCATCTATAGCGTTGGAAAATTGATTCAGAACAAGCAGTAGGTATGCGTGGAAGATTCGCCATAGCTTCACTGTATTTCGTTCGGCTACTAAAAATTTAGACTTAAGTTCGAAACGACCTTATGTGCCCTAGCATGGCTGTCACTTGATTAGCATGCCCTGTGATGGTGAGGCATTGTTCTACAACGATCGACGAGAGCAGAGAGGTTGTTCGTGCCGACCTATATTTGAAATTAAATCCTATTCTATTCTGCACAAAACGATCCGGTGGGCAGAGCTCAGAGGATTGACTATAAAGACTGAAGGACGACGGGATTCTGCTTGATTAACGAGGCTTTAAGGTTGAAACACGTGTATCGGGCTGTACAAAAGCCCATTACCAAACCAATTGACATGATGGCTCAAACAAAGATGAAAAGATCTATTGAAATATGAGCGTAGTCTTAATAAAACACTTGAAATAAAGGTATAGTACGACGAAATATCAGCTAAAGAGCAGTCGAGTACAACACTATGAATTCGGTAGAAATTTCCCATGATTTACAGAGTAAAACGTTCGTCTTCGCTACCTCTTAGTGTGAGGACTAAATCACCCACAGAG